AAAAAAAAAAAAAAAAAGGAAATATCAGTGTAGGGCTAAGAAGGCCGTTGACTCTAATAACTAGAGTATGCATGTCATAAAGTCAGATGATTTTTTTTTAATTGTTTGGGATTCATTGAGGGCACAAAGAATTAGGTTACACTGATTGCGTTTGTTAGGTAAAAATCCCTCTTATGATTGTGTCCCACCCCCAAGAGGTGTGCCATACATCATGATCCTCCAGCCCCCTCCCACCTTCCCTCTCCCACCAAGGTGCCCCCTACACCCCACCAAGTATTAGGTCATCCATTGCCTTCATATTAGTATTGAGTACATTGGATTCTTGCTTCTCCATCCTTGTGATGCTTTACTAAGGAGAATGCGTTCCACCTCGATCCAGGTTAATATAAAAGATGTAAAGTCTTAGACCTCCCATTTGATACTGCAGTATCATTACTGGGCATCTACCCAGAAGAAAGAAAGTTATTATCAGGACATTTGCACTAGACTCTTCATCACAGCTCAATTTACAATTGCCAAAATGTGGAGTCAGATGATTTTTTATTGCTTTCAACAAAATAGGACCCAAGGTTTCAGATGATAGGTCGTTAAAAGTAATTTTTGGCTTGGTACCTATAACTCAGTGACTAGGGTGCCAGCCATATACACTGGGGGAGTTCGAACCTGGGCCAGGCCAGCTAAACAACAATGACAACTGCAACAACAAAATAGCCAGGTATTGTGGCAGGCGCCTGTAGTCCCAGCTACTTGGGAGGCTGAGGCCAGAGAATCGCTTAAGCCCAAGAATTTCAGGTTGCTGTGAGCTGTGATGCTACAGCACTCTACCGAGGGTGACATAGTGAGACTCTGTCTCAAAAAAATAAATAAATAAAAGTAATTGTTGATAGTATCGACTTTTTGGCACGTTACTTGCAAAAGGGTTGAAAAAAATTGAGAGACATTTATTGTAAGACTTTATTTCATCTATACGGTAGACATTTATTGTAAGACTTTATCTCATCTATACTTCATTTATAAGCCCAGGAATAAAATAGATGCTGACTTTAGTTACAGTGTGGCACTAAATATTCATTCATGAACATATAAATTAATTGGGAAACACGAATAAAAAGCCAAAACCCAGCACCTCTAAGTGCTATGAAACCCTTTTGTTTGTCTTTTTCAAAGTTTATTTCAGTGTTACTATGATTACAGAAAGACACTCTCATTTTGGTTAGTAGACTGCAATTTAAGGTTATTTTATCCTGTACAAGTTAGACCAGCAACTTGGTACTGGTTTAAGATGTAAAAAGACAGGAGGAATCTGAATTATTCATCTATTACAAATGTATAAAAGACTTCCCTCAAATCATGCAAAAACAGGCAGTAAGGACTATAGAAAATTTTTCTTTTAAAATTCTTACTTTGTCGCCCTTGGTAGAGTGCCACAGTATCACAGCTCACAGCAGCCTCCAACTCTTGGGCTGAAGCAATTCTCTTGCCTCGGCCTCCTGAGTAACTGGGACGACAGGTGCCTGCCACAATGCCTGGCTATTTTTGTTTGTTTTTTTAGCAGGCCTGGGCTGGGTTCGAACCCACCAGCCCTGGTGCATGTAGCCGGCATGCTACCCACTGAGCTATAGGTGCTGCCTTAAAATTTTTCTTTAAAAAAACCCCATGTATTGCACTGTAAAAATTTTAAAAACTAATACAACAAAACCGCGTTGAAATTGATATAAAAATTTACTTTTGTTTGATAATACTTACCAAACTTGCAATTTTTTTCTTGTTCTTTTTCTTTTTTTATTTATTGTTGGGGATTCGTTGAGGGTATAAGAAACCAGGTTACACTGATTGCATTTATTAGGTAAAGTCCCTCTTACAATCGTGTCTTGCCCCCAAAAGGTGTGTCAAACACCAAGACCCCACCCCCCTCCCTCCTTCTCTCTGCTCTTCCTTTCCCCACCCCTCCCTTCTCTCTCTGCTCTCCCCTTCCCCCACCATGACATTAATTGTCATTAATTGTCCTTATATCAAAATTGAGTATATAGGATTCATGCTTCTCCATTCTTGTGATGCTTTACTAAGAATAATGTGTTCTTGGCTCAGTGCCCATAGCTCAAGCCCCTAAGGTGCCAGCCACATATACCAGAGCTGGTGGATTCAAATCCAGCCCAGGCCTGCCAAACAATGACAAGTACAACCAAAAAAATAGCCAGGCTGGTGGGACTGCAAACTAATACAACCTTTTTGGAAGGAAGTATGGAGAAACCTTAAAGAACTCAACCTAGACCTCCCATTTGATCCTGCAATCCCATTACTGGGCATCTATCTAGAAGGAAAAAAAAACCTTTTATTAGAAAGACACTTGTACTGGCTGTTTATTGTTTCCCAATTTACAATTGCTAAAATGTGGAAACAGTCAAAATGTCCTTCAACCCAGCAATGGATTGGTAAGCTGTGGTATATGTATACCATGGAATATTATTCAGCCATCAAAAGTAATGGAGATTTTACAGCATTTGTACTCACCTGAATGGAGGTGGAACACATTATTCTTAGTGAAGCATCACAGGAATGGAGAAGTAAGAATCCTATCTATTCAACTTTGATATGAAGACAGTTAATGACACGGTGGGGCATGGGGGAAGGGGATAGCAGACAGAGAAGGAGGGAGGGGGTGTGGGCCGGGGGAAAAAAAAAGAAATTAGCGACTAATTCTTATATAAATTATATTTAATTTGGACCAAAGTACATTACTTAAACACTAATTTTTAATTCAACATGTTAATATGTTGTTTATCATATTGCATCCTCATTTATAAGTGAAATATGTTTATAATTTCCCCTTTAGAATAATATATTTTCTCCAATTTTAATATCAGGTGTATCCAGATAAAGTAGAATGATTTTGAAGTATTTCTTTTTCTATTGTCTATAAGATTTGGCATGATCTGTTTTTTTTTGAAATGATCTTTTACTTTTATTTATAAATTTTACTTGTCTATTTTTTTGAGACTTTGGAAAAAACAAAATAAGAAGTTAACTGATCAAAGTATTCTATAATAGACATACTCCTGTCTGACAATGTGAATGTTACTTTCTTTGCATTATTACTATTATTATTGCTTAATATTTCATTGCAGCAACCATCTGATTTCTTTTCTGAATATATTTATCTTCATTTGTTCTTTATGAGGTTTTTGTTCTCAGTTCTTACGTTAAATATTGTTATTGTCATTAAATTTATCCTTTTTAATTCTGTGAAGGCAAAAGTGGAAACCTAATATACACATGTATAAGTAAGAAAAATAAATTAAAAAAAAAGAAAAAAAATAGCCAGGGGTTGTGACGGATGCCTGTAGTCCCAGCTACTTGGGAGGCTGAAGCAAGAGAAGTGCTTAAGCCCAGGAGTTGGAGGTTGCTGTGAGCTGTAATGCAATGACACTTTACCCAGGGCAACAGCTTAAGGCTCTGTCTCAAAAAACAAAACAAAACAAAAAAAAGAATAATGTGTTCCACTTCCAGGAACACATTGTTCTTAGTAAAGTATCACAAGAATAGAGAAGATGAATCCTATGTATTATCCAGGTTAATAAAAGGGCTGTAAAGTCTCTATTTTTTTAATGGCTGAATAGTATTCCACACTTGTATACCACAACTTGTTAATCCGTTCCTAGGTTGGTAGGCATTTCGGCTGTTTCCACATTTTGGAAATTGTAAATTGAGCTATAATAAACATCTAGTGCAAGTGTCCTATGATAAAAGGATTTTTTTTTCTTCTGGGTGATCCTGATGCCAGTAATCCCATTACTGGCATCAGGATCAAATTACCAGGATCAAATGGGTGGTCTAGCTTGAGTTCTTTGAGGGCTCTCCATACTTCCTTCCAAAAAGGTTTTATTAGTTTGCAGTCCCACCAGCGGTATAAAAGTGTTCCCTTCTCTCTACATCCATGCCAGCATCTGCAGTTTTAAGATTTTGTGATGTGGGCCAT